GTTCGGTTACACCATTCGTCACCTTATTATCCCCAAGCCAATGGACAAGCGGAAGCAGCAAATAAGATCATTATTGGGATTATAAAGAAGATGGTTGAAGGGAACCCAAGAAAGTGGCATTTGTTATTGTCTCGGGCTTTATGGGCACACAGGAATACCAGAAATACGGCCACAGGGTTCTCACCGTACCAACTCACTTTTGGCCAAGATGCCGTTTTACCAGCCGAAATCCGAGTATCGTCTGGCCGAACAGAATTTACTGATGGTGATCTTACAAAAGAATACCAACAGCTTATGTTGCAACAGTTGGAGGATTTGGATGTTAACCGACTCCATGCAATAGGTCAAAGTGTGAAACAGAGTGAAATCAGAGCAAGGAATTACGGAAAGAAAGTTTTTTACAGGACATTCCAAAAAGGAGACCTAGTCTGGAAGACCATTCTTCCTACATATAAGAAAACTGACCAATTGGGAAAGTGGTCACCGAATTGGGAAGGACCATACATTATTCAAAAAGACATTGGGAATGGCGCTTTCATTATTGTAAATCATGAAGGTAAGAGAGTACATGATTGTATTAATGCTAAATATCTGAAGAGGTATTATCCTGCCTTTTCAGATAACAAAACTGCATGAAACAAAATATTATTCAGAACCCATTTATGGGGTTCGAACCTATTTAAAGGTTCATTTCTGTTAGTCATCATGTATTTGTGAGAAATGTTCTGCCTCTGGATCAGAATTTTCATCCCAATGAGTGGATATTAGTTCTGGTTCTTCTTCAATAAGATCTTCCAAATCTGGTCGGTACCTCTCCCATTGGCTTTGCATTTCGTCTAAATCTTGATTGGTACGTGCTTGCATATCTGTTATGGCTTGATATTCACGGTTAACAATGGTACGCAATCTTGAAAAGACTTTTCGTTGATTGGAAAATATATTATCCCAACCAAGGTCTGGAAGTATGGTTGCTGCGTGATGTTCAATCAATTCCAGGTAATGATGGAGGTCAGGGATGCGGCTAAGGATGTCACGAAGAGTGTCATACCCCTCAATGATTTTTTCCATTAGGCGGATGACGCGATGAATGGTTCTTCTACCTCGTTGGGAGAATCGGAATTTGAAGTCTAGTTGCTTGAGTATATGTAACAAGTCTTCTGCATGGCCTCCAACAGGTTGATTACCTACAAAGAAGGGTTGAAGAACACCTTCCCAGTTGCTTGATGCAACAATGAGGTCGGTCACTGGGGTCCCTGGAGCCCCTTGCTGGTCGGTCGCAAACTTGGTCCAGCCCCATTCCTTCACGCCTTGTAAAGACCACCCTGGATGGTCTTCTGGTGGCTCCTGCCCATCTAGGGCTCCCATCACAGGGTCTTCACCCACGACTGGGAGATGAGCGATCATCGCTACATCCATAAGAGTCGGACCAAAGGGGCCCGACGGTAAGAGAAAAGTCCCATTTTCCGCATTCCAGAAGGCCGACATAGCTAGGAGCACCTTCTCGTGCAGATTGATCGGCATGGTGGACAATAGAATCGCTTGGTCGATTTTTTGAGATCGCCATTGGGTCTGGAAGTGTTCTGATACCCGTCGATACCAAGAGCGATAAGGATCTTTTGGGTCTGTGAGATGGGTTTTGATGCTGTCTCGAATGCGAACTGCTTGGTAAGTAGGGTTGTTGACAGCCAAGGAATTTCGGGATTCCAAAACTTCCCTCATCCGATTTGAGTCTTCAGGAGTAGTGCAGTATGGGCGGATGGTCGGAGTTAGTACTTTCGAGGCTGAAAACGGGCCCTCTGGGAGGGTTCCGTCGAAGGGAAGGGCAGGAATGTATCGATTCGCCATGGTTAGAGTGGTTGAGATTGTGATTCACAAAGGCTCGTATTGCGGAAAGGGAAGTTAATCAGGAGTGTTGCAGTAACTGGTGCAGTTGCTAAGGGAATTTTTCAAGAGGGTGGTGATTTATGAACTTCCAAACGTCGATTGATAAATGGCGTTTGAAAGTCCCTTGGCGGCGGGCAAGTTGTTACGTATGAAATTTAGAATTAGGTTAAAAAGCCCAAGGTAAAAGAAAAAATGGGCCTGGCAATAGAGTTGATTGAACTGGCTGAAGGACACCGTTGGGAACTCAAGGAAAATAGGTTTATTTCTAAGGAAAATACAGGTCGGGAGGTCCTCAGGACAGAAAGTCTTCAGGTCGGGAGGTCCTCAGGTCGGGAGGTCCTCAGGTCGAAAAGTCCTCAGGACGGAAAGTCCTCCGGTCGGGAGGTCCTCAGGTCGGGAGGTCTTCAAGACGGAAAGTCATCAGGACGGGAGGTCCTCAGGTCGAAAAGTCCTCAGGACGGAAAGTCCTCCGGTCGGGAGGTCCTCAGGTCGGGAGGTCTTCAAGACGGAAAGTCATCAGGACAGAAAGTCCGCAGGTCGGGAGGTCCTCAGGTCGGAAAGTCCGCAAGTCGAAAAGTCCTCAGGACGGAAAGTCCTCAGGTCGGACAGGTCGGGAGGTCCTCAGGTCGGGATTCTGCGGCTGGACCAACCAGTCAGATGGTTTGCAAGTCGGTCGTAGATTGGCAGTCGGGCCAAAAGGGGCGGAAGGTCTGTGGTCGGCTCAAAGAGTGAAATATAGTGATAATTTTTGGTCCGTTGAGGACACGTGTCAGCAGGAGAAGGGTTGGAAGACGGTTGGAAAGGAGACGTTGTAACCGTTCGGGCGACGGTTTTCAGTACAGTTTCCCAGGGAATATTTAAGGGTTTGGATCATCATTTGGCAAGGCATCTTCAATCAACTTCAACAAAGCAAAGTCAGATTTGGGGATCACCACTTTAAATTTCAGTCTTTTATTTTCCAGTTTATTTTCTGTACCATACAGTGTTTAGAGATTCCTAATCTCAGGCACTAATTAATCAAGTTTAAGGATATTTTCTATATCTTTGAATTTTACTTTATTTTTGTTGAAAAATTACATCAAGTCCCATAAGTGAAATATTTTCGTTGTTTTAGTCCTCCGGCGCCGGAGACGCCCACGTGGCTCGCCGGAGGTGACGTGTCCGCCAAGTGTCCCGCCAGGTCAGCGACACCAGGCAGACACATGGATTTATTTATTTTTTTCATTTTTTTAATTTTTTTTAATTGGACCAAATAAAAAAATGCAAATAAAATTAAAAAAATTAAAAATAAGTTTTAAAAAAATAAAAAAAAAAGAATAACTAAAAATAAAAATCCACGTGTCCGCCATGTGTCGCTGACCTGGCAGACACGTCACCTCCGGCGAGCCACGCAGGCGTCTCCGGCGCCGGAGGACTAAAACAATGAAAATTTTTCACTTTTGAAACTAGTTTGCGACAGACTCTATTTACGGGACTAAAATGATAAGGGAATCCAGTTACGGGACTTGAAAAAACAGTTTATCCACTAAAATAAAGTGAACGCGGTGCCACACAAACAAACCCTATCTCCCATCACCATTAGCTAAATTTATTTATTTATTTTCGTTAAATTTATTATATTATTATATTTAGAAAAGTTAAAAAGAATTAATATTTAATTATTATAGTTCATTCAACACTTATTTTGCAACAAATGTCATCAACTCTATTATATTTTTTCTGCTTAATTACTAACTAAATTTTCAAAATATTTTTAACTACTTTTTTATTTTTTTCTACGTATTTACTTAAATAGATATGTTTTTATTTTTTGTGTCGAGCCTAAATGGATTAAATATGACGGACAGTAGAGGAGCTAATTAATATTGGTGTAGCATGTGAACTATCATAAATTCAAAGGTCCACATGAATTTGTCTTCTAACCATTGAGATTTTTTGAGCAAGAAAATGAAGAAGCCATTTGATGATATTTGGTGAATCCTTTGTCTAACAAACACCAAAGTATTGTAATGATATCACAAAATATATCAGTGTATTTTTTAAAGAGTAGAAAAATCAAGGCTCTATTTGCTTACACATTTTAATTTTGAAAAGTTATTTTATATACTATTTATATTTATCAATAGTAACTTTAAAAAAATAATAAATATCACATTAAATTAATATATATATATATTCACAATATCTTATAATTACTATTCCAAAATTTTTCAAAACTCTAAAATTTTAAAAAGGTAGTTTTATGTGTGATTTCAAACTTATGTTTGCCACTATTTTCATTAAAAATTATCTTCTATATAAAATATTACATCAAATAATTATTTTTATTAAAAAAAAAATCTCTATACAATAAACTATGGGTGCGTTTGGCAATTAGTTGATAGCTGATTCAATTAGCTAGTTTGACTAGCTAATTTAGTGGTTTGTATTAAAGTGTTTGGTAAAACATCTATTTGACATTAGCGGTTTATACATAAAATGACTATTAAGGACATTGATATGTTATTTTTTAAAATATTTAATTTTGTTCATTTTGATTTGAAATTTATGAGAATTTTTGTTATTAATTATTGAAAATTACAAAAATATTATAAAATATTTATTTTTATTATTTAGATTTGAGAAAATTATTTTTACTAAAAAATAATAATTTTTTATTAAAATTATGTAAAATATAAAATAATAAATCTTTCGTATATATTTTTATTATGTTAATTATTGTTTTAATATATATAAATAGATTAATAAATTTTATTTTTTCTATTTGATTTAGTTTTAAAACTTTATATATTTTACAAATAAAATAATTTATATGTAATAATTAATAATAGTAATTATTTTAAATTTACAAAAATAAAAATATAATTTAATAAATTAAATATATTAGAAATAATTAATAAACTGATATAAAAAAAATATATATATATGTATAACATAAATAATTAAATTTTAAGGATAAATAAGGAATAATCAAAATTAAAATGAAAAAGCTCTTTCAAAACGTTGGGTAGATGAGTTCGATTGTTCATTCTTTGATCCTAGAAAGAAAATAATTGATGAGGCATATTGTTAAAATTATGAATAGAATAAGCTGAATTAGGTAATGTTTCTACACATGAAAGTGATCAACAAAATTTTCTTGCAATCTGTTTGTAGAGTATAATTTCAGGTAAGAACATACATTTGTCCGGGCAAAAAAATCCTTGGTAATTGAAAGGATAAATGCCTCCGAAATCAATACAAAAGTCTATCTATCTATTTATCTAGACATGTTTGTATTCTATGACTTGCTCAAGAGGGATGTGAGTTCGACAAATAAATCCTCGCTGCACGGAATGGTGAGGCCTCCCATCGGATGATGGAACCCAAATTCCTCCTCGGCTTGAGACAACAATTCTTGAAACATAGGATTCTTCAAATAAGACACCGGAACAACAAATCTCTTCTTTTCACTGCTCTCCCCAACATAAACGGCTAAGTGCCCCTTTGGAACCTCAGCTGATCTTCTTTCGCTTGATAGAGACCGTCTCAGCTTTTGTACGATGGCCATTGTTGGTTGTATCGGGCAAGAAAATGAGAATTTTAGGAAGATCTGATGATGTAAGAAGCGAAGGCTTAGGACTTGGTGCTCGTTGTATGGATATGCGGTGTATATATATAGGGGCGAAAGAAGCTGTATAGTACAGGATATTTAATCAAGTGGCGAATGCGAATGCCGTAACTAAAATATGTGTTGTCTAAAAAACTAGTGAGACATAAGCACATGGAGAGACAAATGCACTTGTCATTCTATGATATTCGAATAGAATCTCAAGACACCACAAGTTTTGTGGTCCTAAATATTGTCCCTTTAGGACATGTATCCGTCAAATTAAATGTCCCTCTCAGACAGACTGGCTGCCATCTCTCAGATCTTTCAAATACTAAGTAAGTTCGATTCCCGTTATTTGTGCATATACGGCGATCATAGAAACTGTGAAAGTTTGAATCATTTCCCAACCTACCAACATTGGTCCACCATGTGATCGACCAAATTAATTGTGTATGTTGTTGCCTAAAAGGTGGTCCACATTTCTGATGCAAGAAAATCTACTGCTCATGTGGTTGTGTTTTTTCGAAGATATGAAAAGTTTAATTTCAACACTGTCGAGTTTGCATCCTAATTTTTCTTTTTTCCTTTTTCGATTATTCTTTGTTACCGAAACCTTGTCCTAAGATCATTAACAATACACTGACACAATGCTTGAAATTGCAAGAGCACAAAATAATGGAGTAGATGGACTTCAGAACAACGCTTAGGAGTTAGGAATGTACTTCTCGGACGACAAAGAAGAAATTCAAAGAATTACTTGGACTTAAGTAATAGGGATGCCAATTAGTGTTTTTGTATCGGATTCATATTAGGTTGAGCTGTCAGTATAATAAAAAATCTGCAAACTTATAAGTAATTTCAAGTCAACCTGATTTTCGTTTAAGTCCTTCGATAACTTGAATGAACCCGACTAACTAGACACAAAACAAACATGAAATACCAAATTGATATAAAATAAAACCGAAAAAAAAAAAAAAAAACTCGTATACCAAATTAAATATGATTTAAAATTTGAATAAAATTGAAAATTACATATATATATATATAATTTAATTTATCAAGGAGAAAATTACCAACAAGAAAATAAAGACAAGGAAGAAGACACTACAAGAAAAAAATCATTTTGTAACAAAACTTTTTTGTCTCAAAATCTATTTTTTTCGTTACTAATGACATTAGAGACGGAATTAGGAACGGAATTACATTAGCTACGTGAACTTTAGGGACGGAATTCCGTTACAAATATATTATTTTTTTGTAGTGAGACAACAACGACGGCGGATAAAGGAGCACAGACGACCATACGAAGATGTGTAGGTTCAAGTGGGAATGATAACAATTTTTTATTACGAATTTTTGTGTAGCAATATGATCTTGTATAATTTTTTTAGTATATTTTTATTTATTGATATAATTTAATTTGAAATTATATAAAAAAATATTACCTATAATACTAAAATCAAGTATCAGGTTTGATTTTGGTTTGGGGTCATATGTTTTAAGGAAGTCTGATGAAAAAACTAAATTTTTATAGAATGATGTTGAGAATTATTGTGTTGAATAATTTGAAATAAATTTTCAGATTTGAATTTTTTAATTTGAAATTTTGAATTCAAATTCTATATTGAATTTTGAATTTGAAATTTTAAACTCAAATTTAAAATTTAATAACATGAATATGAAACTTTAATACGTGTCGATTACGAGCTTATGTAATATATATATAGACCTCAAACCTTTATTGTAATCATCGATTCTTAGCATCATCTTTTTTAATAATATAATTCATTCTATTTATAATAATAATAAAAAAAAACCAACATTTAGTATCAGAACTAAAAATCTTTTCCAAACTGTTCTATGGCTTCCAATCCGGCTAGTACGTGGGCTTCCTCCAGCCACCTCATTCCAGAATTTGTTGAAGACGACTATGACTTTTGGAACATCAAAATGAAGACCATTTTCCGGTCGCTTAATCTCTGGGAGATTGTAGATAAAGGGTTTGCGGAACCCGCCGAGGAAGAAGCGCTTGACGAAAATGCTGCGAGGAAATTGGAGCAGCGGAGACAAGCTGACGCCAGCGCTCATTCGGTAATTCAACGAGCCCTCACTAAAAATCTTTTTCTTAGAATCATGAGAGCCGACACCGCTAAGGACACTTGGGAAATTCTCAAGGATGAATTCCAAGGAGATGCCAAAGTCCGAACATTTAAGTTGCAGACGCTACGGAAGGAGTTTGAGAATATCACTATGAAAGGAAATGAAACGGTGAAAGATTTCTCAATGAGGTTCGTTGATCTCGTCAATAAAATGAAGTCACACGGCGAAGAGATTTCCGATAAGAGGATGGTAGAGAAGATACTTATTGGTCTTCCCGAAGAGTTCGATTCGATCGTGTCTGTCATTGAGCAAACAAATGATCTCTCAACACTCACCGTCCAAGAAGTAATGACGTCTCTAAAAACATTTGAAGAAAGACGTTCAAGGCGGTTCGAAAAATGCATTGAAAGTGTTTTCCAGTCAAAGCTAAAGTTGGGCAACAGAGAAGATATTACAAAGTTCGACTCCAATTAATCTCAGGCTGGTGGAAATTTTCGAGGACGAGGACAAGGCATTCGAGGAAGCGGACGATCTCAAAATGCATCATTTTGCAACATTTGCAAACAATCAGGGCACGTCAACAAATATTGTCGGTTCAAGAATAAACCCAAGTGCAACATTTGCAACCGTTTCAGTCACCTTGAAAAATATTACAGGAATCGAGGCGCTCATCAAGCAAATCAAACAGAGACACAAGAACACCATGGAACATTCTATGCTTGTCATACCGCGAGTGCCGAAAGAAGCAAGAGATGACTACTCCATAGCGGATGTAGCAACCATATGACCTCAATAAAAGGAATTTTCAGCACCATTGATGACAAAGTCACAACTCCTGTCCAACTTGGAAACAGTGCACTCATTGAATCAAAGGGACTCGGGGCCATTCCGATCAACACAAAAGAAGGTGAGAGCTTCATTTCCAATGTTCTTTATGTACCAAGTCTAAACCAAAATTTATGTACCATCTAAACCAAAATTTACTTAGTCTTGGACAAATTTTGGAGAATGGAAACAAGCTTCTCTTCGACAACAATGAGTGCACAATCTTTGACAAGCGTGAAAAGAACATGGTGTTTATGAAGATTCCAATGGTGAACCGAAGCTTTGCTCTCAATATCAATTATTTCCACACAACTGCAAATCGAACCGATAAATGGAAGAATCAGAACTATGGCATTGACTGCTTGGTCATGTCAACTATAGAAGCCTCAAAGCCTTATTGGATCAGAAAATGGTGCATGGACTTCCGGACATCAACGAGAAACACGATGTGTGCGAAGGTTGTATGATAGGAAAACAACATCGACAACCTTTCCCGAACGATGTAGCTTGGAAAGCCAAAGAAAAGTTAAAGCTTGTTCACACCGACGTTTGCGGAATGATAGGTACTTTGTACTTTTTATTGATCATTATTCACGTATGACATGGGTTTATTTTATGAGGCAAAAGTCGGAGGTGTTCACCATATTCAAAAAATTCAAGAGACTTGTCGAAAAGCAAAGTGGATGTGCTATCAAAACCTAGAGGAGTGATAGAGGAAAGGAATACCCATCAACAGAGTTTATGACCTTTGTGAGGATGAAGGAATGGTACGACAATTGATAGTTGGTTACACCCCTCAACAAATTAAAATGATGTAACCGAAAGAAAAAATCAAACAATCGTGAAGATGGCGAAGTCGATGCTTCATGAGAAAGGACTTCCCAAAACTTTTTGGGCTGAAGCTGTCTATACTGCGTTGTACCTTTCCAACCAATGTCCGACGAAAGCAATTCAACACAAAACCCCGATCGAAGCTTTGAGTGGCCGGAAACTTGCTGTTAACCATCTCTAATTATTCGGGAGCATTTGCTACGCCTCAAGTACCGAAAGTGAAGAGAAAAAAATTCGACGAATCAAGTGAGCGATGCATTTTTGTTGGATATAACACGATGAGCAAAGGGTACCGAGTCTTCAGCCTAAAGCAAAATCGTGTCATCATCACTCGGATATCCAAATAAATGAAAATACCTCATGAAATTGGGAAGAAAGTAGAATTGAAAAGAAAGGGATAGTAATGGGCGTCATTCCAGTGGCAAGAGAAGAAGTTAACAATGAAGGAAAAGATGAGGCTGAACCATCTAGTCCCACCTCATCAAATACCGCGGATGATGCTAATCCATTCAGTCCTAACTCATCATACACTGCAAATCCAAGTCCAAAGAGGTACAAATCATTGAATGACATTTATGCTTCTTGCAATTATTGTGTAGTTGAACCCAAGAACTTTGAATAGGCTATGAAGGAAGAAGCTTGGAGAAAAGCAATGAATGAGGAGATTCAAGTGATCGAAAAGAATCACACATGGGAGCTTGTTGATAGGCCATCCAGAAAAGATGTAATTGGAGTGAAATGGATATATAAGGTGAACCACAATGCTGATTGGTCCATTCAAAGAAACAAAGCAAGACTTGTTGCCAAGGGATATTCACAACAAGTTGGAATTGATTACGATGAAACCTTTGCCCCGGTAGCACGTCATGACACATTTCGAACCATCATTGCACTTGCCGCAAGCAAAGGTTGGACACTCTTTCAACTTGATGTGAAATCCGCATTCTTAAATAGAGCATTATAAAGGAAGAAGTTTATGTCGAACAACCACCGGGATTCACCGTCGACGGAAAGGAAGATAAAGTCTACCGATTGAAAAAGGCATTGTAGGGATTAAACCAAGCACCCCGATCGTCGTATAGTGAAATAGAAAACTACTTCATTGAAAGTGGATTTGAGAGGAGCAAGAGTGAGCTGACATTATACGTCAAGAAAAAATGTAATGATGCTCTTATTGTCATCCTTTATGTCGATGACTTGATCTTCACAGGTAGAAACAAGGAAAGGATCGAAGAATTCAAGCATGACATGGCTCAAAAGTATGAAATGAGTGATATGGGTTTGACGAGGACGTCCAATCTTCAAGCATTCAAATGCCCGTGGGACCCATCACTCGAAGCCGAGCTCGTCAATTTCAAAAATCCGTCACTGCATTGATCAGACGATCTTTCATGGAGAATCAATTTAAGGATGATGCTTGGAGACCACTTAGCCCTTACCTGACGCTCCTTCAATGGGACCCGCAAGAATTCCAATTGAAAGATCAAGAAAATCGCTAATAATGGAAGGTTATCAAGAGAATCATCACTTATGGAGAGAATCACTAATCATGGAAGTATATCAAGAGAATCCTCACTTATGGAGAGAATCACTAATCATGGAAGTATATCAAGGGAATCATCACTTATGGAGAGAATCACTAAATCATGGAAGTATATCAAGGGAATCATCACTTATTTCCTTTTATTATAAGTTCCCATATAGTATGATTCCATATCTAAAACTTCCCTAATTATTTATTTCCTTATAGTTAGACTTACCTTTTGGTTTGTTTCCTTTATTACTTGTTGCCTTTTATTTTCCTCAAGGGCCTTTATATAAGGTCCTTACCTATCATTGTAATGCGGACCTTTTTTACATCTTGAATTGAATTTCACTTTTATATTTTCTAGTGTTAGGGAGTGATTTCCTCGCATTTAGAATCTCAAATCGGGTCTTTGGAGTGATTCCATCGGTTCGTGGCTTCCAATCCTTTGTAGTGGGATTTAGCCTATTGTTTGTGTTTTACCTCTAGATTGATTTCAGGTCCGAGACTTATTCTCGTGGTTGGTTATCATCTATATTAATTCACATTCTCTGCACTATCTTTCTTCTTCCTTCTCTTTTCTTTTATACATATTGTTAATCCATTTGTTCTATTGAACTTTGTGGGTAAGAAAATTATGTTGGTTATAATTATACGCGGCTGGGCCGTGTCATCTGGTATCAGAGCTAGTTGATACAATCTCTTGATTGATATCACGGTTCTTATTTGAAAAAGAAAAAAAAAAGCAAAAAAAAAAAGTCAAAAAAAAGCAAAAAAAAAAAAAAAACAACAAAAAAAAAGGCAAAAAAAAAAAAAAAAAGAGGAAAAAAAAAAAGAAGTTATTATCAAATATTTATATTTGTTATTTACTTCTAGTTCTCGAATCATCTTTTCTTTTATAAAAAAAAAAACAAAAAAAAAATATCTATTTAGATTATTTGTCTTCTACCTTCATTATAAACTTATAATCTTTTGGTTTCCCTACTGTTTTGGATTTTTTGGCTATCGTCTTTGGGAGAATTCCATCGATTTGATTTGAGTCCTTTTTGCGAGACGGAGAGGTACATAAGGTGTGGAGTGATACACGAGAGTTCTAGTGAGGTTATTTTCTTTTTTTTTTCTTTCTTCTATTTCTAATGGCAGGGGGTGAAGGATCCAATTCTCAACAAGTTGATGTACAAGGTCTTCTCAACACCATTCTACAAGAGTTCAAAACTCTTCACCATTCTGGATTGGAGTTGATGAATAATAGGATGGATCAACTGGAAGAGAATCAACAAAAGTTACAAGAGAATATCCGACCATTACCTGAAGCTCAGAGGCGAAATAATGTTCAACCGCATTTGAGGCCAAGACGCAACATCCGGCCCCCATCACCACACAACACTGACGAACCCGATGATGAGGAGTTTGGAGGAAATTGGGAACGACCTAGGCATCATAATAACCATCACCGACGGGATGGAGATGAGGCGATCAACTCGATCAAATTCCAAGTGCCACCGTTCCAAGGAAAATCCGACCCTGAAGCATTTTTGCAATGGGAGCGAAGGTTAGAACTAATCTTTGATGTTCAACAATTAACTGACCAACAAAAACTCCGTGTGGCCGTAATGGAGTTTTCAGATTATGCGCTTGCATGGTGGGACCAATTGAGCATCAACCGCCGCAGAAATAGGGAGGCTCCAGTGCGTACTTGGACAGAACTTCGTACACTCATGCGAAAGAGGTTTGTTCCCCCTCATTACCATCGTGAAGTATTGCGGAGATTGCAGAGTATACAACAAGGGTCGCGGTCAGTGGAGGAGTACTATAAGGAGGTTGAAACACTTCTTCTACAAGCCGATATCCATGAAGATCAGGAGCAAATGATGTCTAGATTCTCGAATGGGCTTCAAAGGGATATTGCTGATGCGGTAGAGATGTACCAATACGTGGACCTCGAGGAGATGGTACACTTGGCCATAAAGGTGGAGAAGCAACTAAAATCTAAGCGGATGCAAGGTAATCAGTTTAAACTTTCTCCAACTGTAGGGTTTCCTAAAGCGCCGCTTCCACAACATATCAACAAAGGAAAAGAGATAGCGGGAGTTGATTCGACGCGCCCTAAGCCGCCAACATATGCCCCCCCAAAGAACACCACCCGTAGCCGAGATGTGTTATGTTTCAAATGCCAAGGCCGAGGACATTTTGCGAATCAATGTCCAAACAAGCGTACTATGGTTCTTACGATCTCCGGTGAGTACGAATCCGAATCAGAAACTGAAGAGGCCAATGAGGCAAACTCCTACCACCAGGAAGCTGTAGAATCCATACCAGAGTCCAATTTGACGTTAGTCACTCTCCGAGCTCTTAGCACTCTTCCAAAGGAGGTTGAAGACACCGAACAACGCGAAAATTTATTCCATGGAAGGTGTAAGATCGCGACTAAGGTATGTAGTCTTATCATTGACGGTGGTAGTTGTACTAATGTCATTAGTGACCTCGCAGTGAAAAGACTTAATTTGAGGATGAATTTGCATCCGAGGCCTTACAAACTACAGTGGCTCAATAATTGCGGGGAAATCAACGTCACCAAACAAGTGTTGGTGGAAATTGAACTACAAGGTTACAAGGATGAGGTAAAATGCGATGTAGTTCCAATGCAAGCATGTCATATTTTGCTTGGGAGACCATGGCAATTTGACAAAGAAGTTGTACATGATGGCCGCCGTAATCGATATACTTTCACACATGCCGGACGGACCATAGTTCTAAAGCCGTTGAGTCCTCGAGAAGTAAATGAAGATCAAAAATACTTGTACAAGCAATTTGCCACTGAAGCAAGAGAGAAAAGGAACCAAAGGAAAGACAACAAGATGGTGGGCTATGTCGCTGAATCAACTCTATGTGAGGAATCCAACTTGAAGCCCTCCTTAGAATCACCCGCAACAAAAGGTACTCCGCATACAAGTGCATCTACTCTTTCATATAGCCTAACTACCCCACAACCTTTCAAATCTTCATCCTCACCAATAAATACATCTTCCCCGAGCCACTCTCAAATACTCTACCCTTCTACTCAAAAATCAAACACGAGTGTAGTGATTCAGGGTGAAACCAGCTGGAATCTTAAACACGAGAGTGAGAGGCCTAATCTTTTTATGTGTAGGAAGGAAGCTTTACGCTTAGAACATGGAGTTCATTGTCTGCTATTACTATCTAAACCTTCTTATTTTTCCATGAATGACTCTAACAAACTTCCATCTAGTTTTTCTAACTTATTGAAGGCGTATGATGATGTTTTTCCTGATGAAGTACCCCATGGTTTACCACCCACTCGTGGAATTGAGCACCAAATTGATTTTGTCCCGGGAGCATCAATTCCTAATCGGCCAGCCTATCGAGCCAACCCGGATGAGGTAAAAGAAATACAAAGGCAAGTGGAGGATCTACTGAGCAAAGGTTGGATTCGTGAAAGTCTAAGTCCTTGTGCTGTACCTGTCCTATTGGTGCCAAAAAAAGATGGAGGTTGGCGCATGTGTGTGGATTGCCGAGCCGTCAACGCTATAACAGTTAAGTATCGTCATCCCATTCCTAGATTAGATGACATGCTTGATAATTTGTGTGGTTCTGTAATTTTTTCAAAAATTGATTTAAAAAGTGGCTATCACCAAATTCGGATGAATCAAGGTGATGAATGGAAAACTGCCTTCAAGACTTCTTTTGGTCTATATGAGTGGTTAGTTATGCCATTTGGACTTACTAATGCCCCAAGCACATTCATGCGATTGATGAATCATATTTTAAGGAATTTTATAAATAAGTTTGTGGTAGTATACTTTGATGACATACTTGTTTATAGTACTTTTATTGAAACACATGTTGAACATTTACAAGCAGTTTTAGATGTTTTACGGGCTGAGAAGTTATATGCTAACTTGAAAAAATGCGACTTTTGTGTCGACAAGTGCAACTTTTTGGGTTTTATTGTAGGAAAAGATGGAGTATGTGTAGATCCTGCGAAGGTTGCAGCCATCCAAGAGTGGCCTACACCTACTAGCGTACGTGATGTCCGCAGTTTCCATGGCCTTGCAAGTTTCTACCGTCGATTTGTGCGGAACTTCAGCACTATTGCAGCACCCTTAACGGCAATTACCAAAAAAGAGGATAAGTTTGAGTGGGGAAGTGAACAACAAAATGCTTTTGATACTTTGAAATCGAAACTTACATGTGCACCCGTACTTGCCTTACCTGATTTCTCTAAACCGTTTGAACTTGATTGTGATGCCTCTGGCGTAGGTATTGGCGCCGTCCTCTCGCAAGAAAAGAAACCTGTTGCATTTTTCAGTGAAAAGATACATGGCGCTGCATTGAATTACTCAACGTACGATAAGGAATTATACTCCTTAGTGCGGGCGCTGCAAACATGGCAACATTACTTACGTCCTCGTGAGTTTGTTGTGTACACTGATCATGAATCCCTCAAGCATATCAAATCCCAAAGTAAGTTGAGTACGAGACACATCCGATGGATCTCCTTCATTGACACCTTCCCCTATGTTGTTAAATACAAAAAGGGTAAGGAAAACATCGTTGCGGATGCATTATCACGCAGGTATGCACTTGTTACCACACTTGAGTCTAAGCTATTAGGTTTTTCGTATTTGAAAGAATTATATGCAACTGACCCTGATTTCTCCGATATATTTTCCAAGTGTAATTCTCATGCATTTGAAAGGTATCATGTATATGAGGGGTATTTGCTGCGAGAAAATAAATTGTGCGTTCCTAAATGCTCCTTGAGAGAATTGTTGATTTGGGAAAGTCATTCGGGGGGTTTGATGGGACACTTTGGTAGGAACAAGACACTTAACTTGCTGCAGGAACATTTTTTTTGGCCACGAATGAAAGCCGAAGTTGAAGCCGCAATTCGTCGGTGTACAACGTGCCTCTCGTCGAAGTCTACTGTTCATCCACACGGTTTGTATACTCCGCTACCTATTCCTGAATCCCCTTGGATTGATATTTCTATGGATTTCATATTAGGTTTGCCTAGGAGTAGGTCTGGTAAAGATTCAATATTTGTTGTGGTTGATCGATTTTCAAAAATGGCACATTTTATTCCATGCACAAAAACCACTGATGCTTCGCATGTTGCTTCATTATTTTTCAAAGAGGTTCTTAGATTGCATGGTGTTCCAAGATCCATTGTTTCTTATAGGGATTCTCGATTTTTAAGTTATTTTTGGAAAACACTTTGGGCTAAGTTAGGTACAAAACTAATGTTTTCCACATCACACCACCCTCAAACTGATGGTCAAACAGAAGTTGTTAATCGAACTGTGGGTAGCTTGTTACGTGCCTTAGTTAATGAGAATTTGAAGAGTTGGGAAGAATGTTTAGCTCATGCTGAATTTGCATATAACCGTACGGTTCATAGCTCTACGAATTGTTCTCCATTTGAGGTTGTTTACGGTTTTAACCCATTAACTCCTCTTGATCTTATGCCATTGCCACGCAATGAGCACGTTAGTTTGGATGGCAGAAAAAGAGCTGAATTTGTACAACAACTTCATTCTCAAGTTCGGGATAACCTAAGAAAGGCAGCTGACAATCACGCAAAACAAGCTAACCGTGGGCGCAAGAAAGTTGTTTTTGAGATAGGAGATTGGGTTTGGCTACACTTAAGGAAGGAAAGATTTCCAGAGTTGCGAAAGTCAAAACTTACTCCCCGTGGCGATGGACCTTTTCGAGTGTTGGAACGCATTAATGATAATGCCTACAAACTTGAACTCCCAGGTGAGTACCAAGTCCATGCTACTTTTAATGTTTATGACTTAAGCCTTTTTGATACAGCGGATGAATATCTTGTTCGGGAGAACAAGAAAGCTTTTCAAGAAGGAGGGAATGACGAGGACGTCCAATCTTCAAGCATTCAAATGCCCGTGGGACCCATCACTCGAAGTCGAGCTCGTCAATTTCAAAAATCCGTCACTGCATTGATCAGACGATTTTTCATGGAGAATCAATTTAAGGATGATGTTTGGAGACCACTTAGCCCTTACCTGACGCTCCTTCAATGGGACCCGCAAGAATTCCAATTGAAAGATCAAGAAAATCGCTAATAATGGAAGGTTATCAAGAGAATCATCACTTATGGAGAGAATCACTAATCATGGAAGTATATCAAGAGAATCCTCACTTATGGAGAGAATCACTAATCATGGAAGTATATCAAGGGAATCATCACTTATGGAGAGAATCACTAAATCATGGAAGTATATCAAGGGAATCATCACTTATTTCCTTTTATTATAAGTTCCCATATAGTATGATTCCATATCTAAAACTTCCCTAATTATTTATTTCCTTATAGTTAGACTTACCTTTTGGTTTGTTTCCTTTATTACTTGTTGCCTTTTATTTTCCTCAAGGACCTCTATATAAGGTCCTTACCTATCATTGTAATGCGGACCTTTTTTACATCTTGAATTGAATTTCACTTTTATATTTTCTAGTGTTAGGGAGTGATTTCCTCGCATTTAGAATCTCAAATCAGGTCTTTGGAGTGATTCCATCGGTTCGTGGCTTCCAATCCTTTGCAGTGGGATTTAGCCTATTGTTTGTGTTTTACCTCTAGATTGATTTCAGGTCCGAGACTTATTCTCGTGGTTGGTTATCATCTATATTAATTCACATTCTCTGCACTATCTTTCTTCTTCCTTCTCTTTTCTTTTATACATATTGTTAATCCATTTGTTCTATTGAACTTTGTGGGTAAGAAAATTATGTTGGTTATAATTATACGCGGCTGGGCCGTGTCATCTTGGGTTTGCTCTGACACTTCTTGGAATGGAGATTCATAAAGAAGAAGAAAATATGGTTATTTGTCAAAGGAATTATGCCAAAAAATCTTAAAGAAGTTTAAGATTCTCGGATGCAATCCAGTCTCCACACCCTCAATTATGGGGGAGAAACTCAAGCAAGATAACAAAGGAAAACCGGTTGATGAAACTCACTACAGAAGCTTGATCGGGAACCTTCTTTACCTCACAGCAACACGTCCCGACATCATGTTTGTCACAAGTCTCTTGTCCCGATTCATGCAAAAGCCAAGCCAAATCCATCTTGGAGTTTCCAAGAGAGTGTTGCGCTACATCCAAGGTACCATGGATTTCCGATTGAGTTACAAGAAGAATATTGATGTCAAATTGGTTGGTTATTCCGATAGTGATTTTGGAGGATCCCTTGATGACTCAAAAAGGACGTTGGGATATTGCTTTACAATGGGATCGGCTATTTTCTCATGGCTTTCAAAGACACAACAAAGCGTTGCACAATCATCCGCCGAAACGGAGTATGTATCAGCAGCATTAGTCACGTCTCAAGCCATTTGGCTAAGAAGAATCATAGGTGATCTCCGACACGAGCAGCAAGAAGGAACCACGTTGTATTGTGATAACAAATCAGATATCTCCATGGCAAAGAATCCAACACACCACAGCCGTACCCGACACATTGCTCTCAAGCATCACTTCATTCGGGAGGCAATTGAAAACGGATAAATAAGGTTGGAACTGTTACGATTAATGGAATAAATTCTATTTTCGTTAAATCAAAAATTATGGTACAATATTATATTTATACAAGAGATATATTAGGTAGGATATATATATAGATATATACAATATATATATTAACATCCCCCCTCAAACTCAAGGTGGAACGGTGGAAACCAACTTGAGTTTGCTCAAAAATGACTGAAAACGGCCGGGAAGGTGAGGTTTGGTGAATCCGTCGGCCGTCTGATCAGCAGAGGAAACGGGAGACAATGAGATGCTTCCATGAGCAACGTGATGACGTACAAGGTGACAATCGATCTCAATGTGCTTCGTACGCTCGTGGAAGACATCATTCGTCGAAATCTTCATGGCGTTTTGACTGTCGCAATGGATAATAGTGGCAGAGGGCTGAGGCACTCCGAGATCAGCCAGCAGCCAGCGAAGCCATAGAAGCTCGGCAGTGGTATCGACAAGGGCTCGATATTCGGACTCTGCGCTGGACCGGGAGACAACCATCTGTTTCTTGCTGCGTCACGAAATAAGCGAGTCGCCAAGGAAGATGCAAAATCCGGTGGTCGAGCGGCGATCAGAGGGATCTCCCGCCCAATCAGCGTCAGAATACCCGATCAAAACTAAGGAAGAACAAGCGGAATAATAAAGCCCATGAAGAAGAGTACCTTTGACGTACCGGAGAATCCGTAGGACAGCAGAATGGTGAGTCGTCCGAGGAGCAGACATAAAAATTGACTGACGATATGGACAACATAAGCAATATCCGGTCGAGTGACAGTCAGGTAGATCAGACTTCCCACTAGCTGACAATACAAAGTAGGATCATCAAGGGGAACGCCGTCCATCGGAGTAAGACGACAATCAGAATCAAGAGGAGTAGGAGCACTCTTGGAGTCAGTGAGACCGGCACTGGATAGGAGGTCGGAGGCATACTTGGCTTGAGAGAGATAATATCCGTCAGAGGTGTCGGAGATCTCAAGTCCTAGGAAGTACCGAAGAGGCCCTAAACTCTTCATCTCAAAGTGGCGATGTAGATGAGTCTGCAACTCAGAGATACCTGATGCATCATCTCCCGTAATGATCATGTCATCCACATAAAGCAATAAAACAGTAATTCCAGCTGACCCACGTCCGAGGAAAAGAGCCGAATCATGATCGCTAGAAGTAAAGCCAAGCTGGAGTAGTGCAGAGCTAAATTTCGAAAACCAAGCTCGAGGTGCCTGTTTCAAACCATATATGGCACGGCGAAGTTTGCATACCTTGGAAGAGGTAGGAAAACCAGGAGGAGGAGACATGTAGATATCCTCGGATAAGTCACCATGCAAGAACGCATTCTTGACATCAAGCTGATGCAGGGGCCACTGACGAGCGGCAGCGATGGCGATAAGACAACGGACAGAGGTGAGACGAGCAACCGGGGAAAATATCTCCTCATAGTCGATACCATACTGCTGGGTGTAGCCTTTGGCTACCAAACGCGCCTTGTAGCGCTCGATGGATCCATCAGAGTGAATTTTGATTCTGAATACCCACTTGCAGCCAATAGGTTTCTTGCCAGAGGGAAGATCAACCATATCCCACGTATGGGTTTTCTCCAAAGCCTGCAACTCCTCAGACATAACCTGCCGCCATAACGGATCCGCATACGCCTCACGAAAGGACCTGGGCTCATGGTGGGACAAGGTGGCAAAGAAGCAGTGATAATCAAGTATGTGAGTAGGAAGATGACTAACCCGAGTGGAACGACGAGGGCCAGGATCAGGGGCTGAGATTGAAGTCGTGTTGGGCTCTAGTGATGGTTATGTATCGGAGTCGAGAGTAGAAGTAGGCTCGGGGATCAGCATCGGTTCAGGAGGCGCAACCGGGACAGCGTCAGGAGTGGGAGATGGAGCCGTGTCACCGGAGGGGAATAGAGGTGGAGAGGACAAGGCAAATAACGGAGACGAACGATCAAAGGGGACTCGAAAGTGGGACAAGGGGGAGAATTTGGTTATCCTCCCAAAATGTGACATGACGAGAAATACGTAGTCTATTGGAAATGGGATCCCAACAACAATAACCCTTATGCTCTAACACCCGTATCCCATGAAGCAACACAGACGCGCGCGAGGTTCTAACTTAGTGCGCTCATGAGGAGGGAGAAGGACAAAACTGACACAACCGAAAGGGCGGAGAAGACTACAATCAGGGGTACGATTAAATAGTTTTTCAAAAGGACTGACATTACCCAGGACAGAGGAAGGGACACGATTTATAGTGTGGACAGCGGTGAGGGCGGCTTCCCCCCAAAAGCGGTCCGGACAAGAGGCAGATAAGAGAAGGGTGCGGACTGTATCGAGGATATGTCGGTGTTTACGTTCGGCGCGACCATTTTGTGGAGATGTGTATGGGCAGGAGCGTTGGACAACAGTACCTTGATCAGATAAGAAACGAAGAAATGATGAATCAGTATACACAAGAGCATTATCTGTGCGGAGAGTTTTTATGGTAGAGGAAAATTGGGTATGTATCATTTTAGCAAAGGTCATATAAATAGATGGAAGTTCAGAACGATGCCTCAGAAAGTAAATCCACGTAAAGCGAGAATAGTCATCAATAAAAATCACAAAATAACGAGAACCATTCATAGACACAGCGGGCGAAGGTCCCCAAATATCTGAGTGAACTAAGGAAAACGGTGTATCCGCAATGGAAGTACTATGAGGAAATGACAAGGCAGGTTGTTTTCCCAATGAACAATCCACACAATGAAAAGACTCAAACTTGACAGAACCTAAACTACCCTGACTAATCAAAGACCTGACTTTATTGGAGGACGCATAACTGAGACGATGATGCCACTGAAGGCAAGATGGTGTAGAGGTGGTGGCAGCCGAGATAGAGGGACGAGGGACCTGGAGTGACGTAAGTTCAAATAAACGGCCCGTCTTCCGGCCTTTCCCAAGAGTCCGCCCGGTTTGCGCGTCTTGAACCTGCACACCAGTAGAAGAAAAAATCACTGTTAGACCTTGATCAACTAATTGACCAACGAAGATCAGATTTAAGGTTATTTGAGGGATACAGTATGTGTCGGGGAGGGATAAGGATGAGGTGGATGTATGTCCGGTATGGGTGATGCGCATATGGGTACCATTTGCAGTAAGGATAGGAGGTAAGGATGGTGCGGTGGATGTGGAGGTCATAAGGCGTATATCAGAGGTCATATGATTACTGCAAGCAGAATCAAAATACCAAGGAGAGTTACCTGATGTGGTAGACATAGCGGTATTGGAAGATAGAACATGTTTAAGAACAGCTTCCAGGTCCTGAATCGTGGGATGCGCAGGCGCAGGCGCAGGCGTGGCAGAGGCTGTGACAAATAAGGTACCAGACTGAGGTCCACGAGAATGCCGAGGTTTGTAGTTACTACTGCCAGAGCGAGACGGCCTAGT